CGAGTGGCATGCGCCAAGATTTATGCACCTTGTCCAAAGTGAACAAGACGTAAATGTTTTGTAGCCGTTTCAAAAACGTTGGCAGGCGTGCGGCATTTGAAGAAGATCTGCAAACATGCATTTTGCGCGCCAGGCGCAGTACAAGAGACATGTTCATCAGAGATGTTCGGAGGTCAGGGCGTTGATTTCCTGAGAAGGGTTGCATTTTGGAGCATAGGATCTTCAGGTTTGCTCAGGTGATTTTGCGTGACAGATGCAGCACTTCGCACACTTTAGATAGATGGAATGGAAAAAACGCAAAAAATATTGGCACGAAGCCGTACTGTGCATTCAACTTTCCATTCTTGAAGGAAGTATCGCAGAATTGTTTCGTTTGTGATGTTGTCAACTTGAAAATTTGAGGACGTCTCGCAAAATAGTTGGTTTTGACGTTGTCAACTGCAAAAATTGAAGACTCTCGCAGAATTGCTCCGTTTTTGATGTTGTCCAGTTCAGAAACTGCGGAAGTCTCGCAGAACAGTTTCGTTTCCAAGCTGGCAGATTGCACATAAACAGATAGACAGATAGATAAATAGATAGACAGACAGATAAACAGATAGATAAACAATTACAACTACAGCTGCCACCTTACACTACACTGCACTGCACTGCACTGCACTACACTACACTTACAACTACAACTCAATTAGAAATGCAAATAAACTACGCTACATTACAGTAATTACATTACACTACACTAATTACATCTATATAATTACACTGCACTACGCTATTTACACTACAACTACAGCAACTCCTGCCACCATAGCTACAACTACAACTACTACTACACTACATTACACTACACTGCCCTAATTGCACTGCAGCAAACTACAACCACAAATATAAACGCAACTACACTTACACTACGTTACACTATACTACACTACACCCCACTCCACCCCACTACAAACATTATATTACATTTTATTACGACTACAACGGCCACGACAACTGCACCTACAATTGAAATTACAACCAAATTGCACTACACGACGCTACACCAAGTATACTACTCTGCATGACAACTACAATTACACTAATTTACACTGCGCTACA